ATGACGGTTCCGTATAGGATGCAGGTTCGTATCCTGTCAAAGGACGAATATTTTCTATGTAAATTTCTCGGACATTCAGGCCGGTAAATGTTATTTAATACTGTTTATTATAAACAGAGCATTTACTTAAATAGTTGTATCTATAAAAAAGAACGTTAAACATAAAAATGTCTTTAATATATATATATATGTGTGTGTGTGTAAAGGTGTGCTTTACCATTAGGTCACGGAGAGACAAGAAAGTAAGGTGAGATTACGCTTCCCATAGCGTAATGGTAAAGTATATTTGACCTTAAGGTGGTTTCTAAGATTAAAAAGGAAATCCAGGTTCAATTCCTGCCGAGAGGTACGTATTTTTAATTTTTACGTAGTAAGACTTTCGTCGTCTAAGCCAGTAGATATTTATTCCAATGTTTAAATAAAAAATAAAAATTAGTATTTACTCAAACACATGTACTAATTAAATATAACTTTTGTAAGAAGAAAAAATGTTGGATTTCAAACCTCCATTAATTACACACACACACACACACACACATATATATATATATATATATATATATATATATATCTGGCCACTCATATCCGAGGATGCCCGTCTACTGGAGCGGCTAGCTAATCCTCATTGCAGACGCCTACTCAGGCACATTTGTATTTGTTAAACAGACCCTAACTGTGGTTTATACTGCAATTATGCTGAGTGGACCTTAGTTACAGTTTCTGGGAGAGAGCGCGTTATCTAGCGTGATCAGCAGTCTAAACAAAGCCAGCACGCTCAAACCCTCGGGCATGATGACTTGTGACTTCGTGATAGCACAGCCACCAACAATAGTTCAATCTACTCAATTTCACCCACAAGGCTTGGGCCAACCCGTGATATGGTTTTCAGGCAAGATTCGAATCAGAATCTCATGGTCAGAAAGCCATCGTTCTAACCACTCGGCCATATATAAGATATAAAATAATTCGAAACACCGACCTTTATGTTACCACGATTTCTATCAGTGCTGTATCATCAGACAATATTTATATCTTTATATCTTAAACTGTCCTACGTTTTCGTTTTTGTGAAAATTATATTGCGCAGTTTTTTAATTAACCCTTTTTGTTTTTTGGCAAATATTTTTGTCAAAGGTTGGATTTTGTATATATATATATATATATATATATATATATTACTGATCGACAACACAACTATTCTGCATCTTGAAAACAACAAAATTAGAAAAGAAATTTATATTAAAAAAAATTAAAGCCAGCACTGAACAGAATTAATTATGAATACTGCAGTAATGTTCTAAAATGCCTGTAAAGGAACAGTTTTTTTACACTTTAATGCGCGCGTGACCCTGACATTATAACATAGATGAAAAAATTCCATAATGGATAATTTTTCACCTTCTAATGAACGCTCAGCACATTGTCAACCGTTTTGCATTTAAATGCAATATGAAAAAATTACAGTAATGGATAACAACGCACAAATTTGTATAAATACTTGTACCCCTGAACAACATATAGTTTTGTATCACTTGCACCCATGAAGATGATCTTGGAAAAAGATGGAAAGTACTTGGGAAATGAAAATAAAAGAAATTTAAACAGCTACAGCACATTTCTCTCATCTTTTAACATCAATACACGGGAGGTTATTCGTGAGTATGAACGAATTTTGTTAAAAAATTAACAGTCACAATGCCTGTAATTTATTCAATCAGTCATGCCTAAAAGATATATATATATATATATATATATATATATATATATATATATATATATATATAAATGAAATTCAATTGTACCCCATTTATATGGCCATTTCGCTCCTCGAGAAATTTCTCTCCCCGAGAAATTCCCTGGAGCTTGTCAGCTTTGATAGAAAAATGAATCGTAACGGGATTTCTTTAATTAAAGAAATAGGAAGAAAGAGGAAAAAACTGCAAATAAGGGAAAAAGCATTAAAAAGGGAGAGAAAGAGAAGAAAAGGGTAAAGGAAAAGCAAAAATAGTGTGGGGGATACAAGAAATGGAGAGGAAACAGTATGACTAGATATATATACAAGTCTAGACAGAAGTTGAAAACGTTGAAAATTAACATTGACCTATATTGAAAATGTTAACGCTTGTTCAAATAGGAAAAAAATTACATAAAGAATTACAATCTTTAAAGTTAAGAAAGAGTTTTTATGGTTGTAGATTAAAGAAATTTTTAAATTCAATATTAATAGTATTATTTATTATTAATATTATAAAAAGGAATTTAATATTAAATAATAAAAGCTAATTAAAACATTATTAGCATATAGACAAATAAAGCAAAATATTAATATTAATAAAGAAATTTAATAAATTAAATTAAATAATAGAATTAAAATAAATAAGTAGACAAGACAGATCCCAAAAAATAATTTACAATATAAGTGGAAAATTTATATAGATTAATAAAAGGTAAAATTATAAATTAAAATTTAAAAAGATTATATAGATTAATTATAGATTAAAATATAATAGATTATACAGATTAAATATATATTAAGCTGTAAATTAAAATTAGATAAAAAATATAAAGAGGCCTTATATATATATATATATATATATATATATATATATATATATATATATATATATATATATATATACTACTAGTAGAGCCCGGTGTTGCTCGGGGATGTAACAGTAAGAGATAGATCAAGTATCGATCGACCATCATAAGGACTGAAAAATAAAATTGACAAAGATTATTGTTTAAGGTTGACGGACACGCATGTCTTAATTAGTTTTTTTTTTGTTTTTTTTTGCGAATTGGTCAAACCCAAACTCAAACAAAAACATTGTTTTCAATCGTTATGAGTCTACCGATTGAATAGAATTTTATTATAAACAATTGTCTTGTAAATGGAATTTTTAAAGCATCCTAATTGTAAAAATAAAGAAAAAAGTGGGCAAGACAATGAGAAACACTACCTGCCAAAAGAAAAAGTGAAGTTTTGTTGAAATCGGTTGAAAAATGTAGGAAATCCGATCCCATATATAAACGAACACACACACACACAAACAACCTGGGTTTTATAATAAGTATAACTCGATATGAGTTGTCCCCCTTTCATTCTGGCTAGTGATGCCTCTTAATCGTGTTTTCAAATTGATTTTGTGCAAAAACAATTGTGCTTTTCCAATTTTTGGCGCTGACAGAACCACCGCAAGGTTATTTTACGTATTCCTGTGAAGTTTTGTTGCAATCAGTTGAAAAATGTAGGAAATCTGATCCAATATATAAACGTACACACACACACACACACACACACAATCTGCGTTTTATAAGACATATATATATATATATATATATATATATATGCGAGGCCTGATCAAAAAGTATCGGAATAGTTGCTATGATAACTAACCTAAAGTACGCAGAGTGAGCTTACTTGGCGAATATTGACCTTGAATTCTGTCGGACATGCGCACTAAGCTAGAACATTGTTTTTTTATAGCAGTACTTGGAAGGAAAATGTGTAGAGTGTGCACGTCTCACCACACCACAGAAAACATTTCTTAAACGGTCATAATAAGTGATGTATCGTGTGTCTGTGGCTATGCCCTCGAAACCAAGGATCATTCTTCGCAGTTGAAGACCTCAACCTCTCCGAGAACAAAAGATTGCACGAATGAATCGAAGCAATGTGAAAAAAAAAACTTCGTCGGTAAAGAACAGAATTTATTGCGTCCCGTTAGTGGCAACTCCATCATGACAACGCACCTACCCCATTCAACGCAACTTGTGTAGCAGTTTTGGGCCAAACACAACATTCCCAAGGTCCGACAAACACCACATTCCCCAGATCCCGCCCCCATGCGGCTTTTTCCTCTTTCCAAAAATCTAATCCCTCTTGAAATGCACACGGTTTCAAGATGCAAGGGAAAACCAAGAGAATACGACGTGGCCGCTGTTTGTTATCCCCACCCCCCAAAAGCTCCAGGAATTCTTCTATTAATGGAAGCAATGATTGTTTAAAGAAGTGTGGTTTCAGAAGAGGACTACTTCCAAGGAGATTAAATGCTGAATTCATGTGTTGTAGTTTTCTGTTTATAATAGCTATCTTTTTTATCCGACTTCCTATATGTATGCGTATCTATATGTGTGTGTGTTGGGGGGAGAGAGAGCGTGTGTGTGTCAAAAATGGTTGTCGGCCTTACCCTTTTCCCAAAATTAGTATTCTGACTTTCGGTTATCGATTTAGGGAAGTAGGACGGATATAAACCTTTCAGCCATTCCTCATATCTATCTTCCATCAGTCAATTGTGTCTGTTCCTTTATGGGAAAACTAACATATACATCTACATTGATGGTTCGTTGTTTAAGTCTATGTCTTCATATTAAAAAGTCTGTGACCAGCCGCGATTTTGCCAAGTTTGAAGTCTGCATATAATGAGCTCCGTATTCAATAGATTTGTATTCAGTCGCGAGGCCCATTGACGTCACTTGAGGTAAACTTTGATTCGCTAGCGTCAACATGGCCGACTACTAAGCGAAGAATAAAAGAATAATAAATTCTATTAATCTGGATTCTTTTTACTCGTTTCTTTTGATATTGTTCATTTCGTCGCTTCTGCTGCCAGACCGTATTTTCAGTTCAGATCTTTTCTATTCAGAATATTTACGAAGCTTAATATAACACAATGACGAATAGGGGAAAATAGAGAGGTTGACGCTGCACAGTCTTCCAGATCGGAAGTATGAACGTGTCTGCCTTTTGAACATCAACAATTCTCATTCTGGTTTTTATCCAGTAGTTTTCTTTTCTCGGAACTAGAAGTAAGGTAGGAAGATTGTGTAGCTCTTACTAATGAGGAGAGCCCATTTCTTTGTATATGTGCCGTTTTCCCACAGGGCATTGGTGATAATTGCTCAAGTACAAGGTTCAAGAGCCACTCAATGTAGCTGGTTACGGAATGTTAGAGAAGGTAGATGGAGAGCATTAGTGAATGTAAGTGGAGACAGACGGAGAAAGTTAGTGAATGTAAGAGGGAGTAGGCGGAGAGGGTTACTGAATGTAAGAGGGGGTAAACAGAGAGGGTTACTGAATGTAAAAGGAGGTAGGAGAGAGAGAAAGTTAATGAAAGCAAGAGAAGGTAGGTGGAGATAGTTACTAAATGTAAGAGGGAGTAGGCGGAGAGGGTTACTGAATATGAGAGGGGGTAAACAGAGAGGGTTACTGAATGTAAAAGGAGGTAGGAGAGAGAGAAAGTTAATGAAAGCAAGAGAAGGTAGGTGGAGATAGTTACTAAATGTAAGAGGGAGTAGGCGGAGAGGGTTACTGAATGTAAGAGGGGTAAACAGAGAGGGTTACTGAATGTAAAAGGAGGTAGGAGAGAGAGAAAGTTAATGAAAGCAAGAGAAGGTAGGTGGAGATAGTTACTGAATGTAAGTGTGGGTAGACAGAGGCTTACTGAATGTAAAAGGAGGTAGGTGTAATGAATACAAGAGAAGGCAGGGGGAGATGTTTACTGAATGTAAGAAGGGGGTGCGGAGTAGGTTACTGAATATAAGAGAGGGTAGGCGGAAAAGTTTACTGAATGTAAGTGGTTCATAAGAAAGGGTTACTGAATATACGATGTGGTAGACGTAGAGGATTACTGAATATAAGACGAAGGGGGATACGAATGTAAGAGGGTTAGGAGAGAGGGTTACTGAATGTAAGAGTTGGTAGGCGGAGTGGGTACTGAATGTACGATGGGGTAGGCGAAGAGGGTTACTGGTTGTAAGAGGGGGTAGCCGGAGGTAGAGTGATTTTTATGAGAATAAGGAGGCTAGATAGCGATTGCCCCTTAAGGTTAAGATTTCCGTGTGCAGGGAAGTATCCACGCATGAATGTCATCTGCAGAGTAGCAATTCCCCGGAAAAACGATGTCTGGGTGAAACCAGTTTCTTAGTAATGGAATACCATGAAAATGCGGGTGATTAGGGTCCGTGAATATAGAATGGCGTGTCTTAGCTCTAAAGGTCTGAATTAGTTTGCCATTGAAATAAAGAGATAATAGCGATCAACTTTGCGTTTGTGGAGAAAGAGGCTGTAGCGTGGAAAAAAGTTACCCCCCTACAAGACAGCGTAAACGGTTTGAAATCTGGCAATGTTGGAATGTGAGGAAATGGCTGCTCTAGCAATATTGCACTTTGCACCTATTCTGACTCTTGTAAAGATAAAGCATGACAGAAAGAATCGGGCAGTTTTTTTAGCGTTTCAAGGAAACCAACTAATTTCCCAGCATTAGATATAGATTGTATGTATGAGTCTCACTTGATGTCTGGGGTGAACTTGGGTCGTTCAAGTCGTGGATCATCGTTGAGAGTGCAACATTGTGACAGGAGAAAATTCAAGTTCCGATATGTGATAAAATGATACTAGCTTGTTTTTAGGTAGTGCAGTTTTTCCTATTGAGCTTTTTTGGGTGGAGCCAGCGGATATATCAGCTACTAGCAGCATGGCCCAGCGTTGCCCGTGCTTGATTCAAAATTCGTACGACTCATACAGCAATCGCTATCACTTGACTTAAAATATTTTTGCCCTTCCTTGCCTTTAAAGGAGTGCCCTTTGCCGTGCTGATGTTGTTACATGCCTTACTTCTTGCTAATCTCACACTGCGAATTTTTTCTAAGCTCTATACTAAACATTAAATCTGTTACGAAAAAAGAACTAAAGAAAATGAACACAAAACGATCAGCTTTAAAAAAAGGATGAATAACTGGAAAAACCGAATGAAGAAAGAATGTTAACAACAAATACTTTTTCACACCGAACCCAGTTCTGCGGAATCCGAATCAACGTTGAGTTTAAGCAAGCGAATGAACCAATTGCAGTAAAGTGCCATGCAGATTTAAATTTTTCCCACTTGTGACGAATGCAGCTACCGATCTTTTTGAATGCTAGCATGCTAGTTAACATTTGTGTCAGTCAGCTGTTGGTTCTCACGCTGGCCAATAGAATCTTCCTGCCTATTCGTGGCAGCCAGCTATAGGCTCTCACTCTGGCCAGTAGAAAATGGCCACAAACTACATGAAAACTGCTGTAGAAGCATGAAAAAATCGATTATTTCCACTATTGATGGGAGTTGGGAAATGCAATGTTGGTCTTGGCCTTCCCGCTAACTTGGAGCATGTGCATGAAAATTTTGGTTCAAATCCGTCGAAAATTGCGGCCGTGCATTCGTTACACACACACACACACGCACACACATCCTGCCTTTTATAGATAGAGATACACACACACACACATCATGCCTTTTATAGATAGAGATACACACACACAAACACGCACACACATCCTGCCTTTTATAGATAGAGATACACACACAGACACACACACATCCTGCCTTTTATAGATAGAGATACACACACACACATCTTGCCTTTTATAGATAGATACACACACACACACATCCTGCCTTTTATAGATAGAGATACACACACACACGCACACACATCCTGCCTTTTATAGATAGAGATACACACACACACACGCACACACATCCTGCCTTTTATAGATAGAGATACACACACACACGCACACACATCCTGCCTTTTATAGATAGAGATACACACACACACGCACACACATCCTGCCTTTTATAGATAGAGATACACACACACACACACACACACACATCCTGCCTTTTATAGATAGAGATACACACACACACACACACATCCTGCCTTTTATAGATAGAGATACACACACACATATCCTGCCTTTTATAGATAGAGATACACACACACATATCCTGCCTTTCATAGATAGATACACATACACACACACACACAAACACACACACACACACAAACACACACACATCCTGCCTTTTATAGATAGAGATACACACACGCACACACACATCCTGCCTTTTTTAGATAGAGATAAAGCTCCAAACATTTCGATTTTGAGACATACGTCCGTAAAACTGTGATATCATCAGCACAGATTTGGACTAATTACTTGATAATGTTCCTACACAGATCATTAGCAAAAAAACAATAGTAAGGACCGAAAAGAGAACCTTTGGCGAACCCTTGCAATGATCTCATCGGCTTACTAGTTCTCCTAGTCCCTATTCTGCAATTTACACAAGCTCGTTAGATAGGCTACTCGCTATTTCTCCTCTATCCGTCTTACATTCAATATGTCTTGGGGATGTCAAATTCTCTGAGCCCTCTTTCCTCATTATGTAGACCAGAAATTTCAACTGTCTTTTTTTTCTGATTCTAAGCACAAGATTTCAATTTTACTTAAAACTTCTTCGTCGCTCACATGTTTCCTTACATGAAATTCTCTTAATTCTTCCGTAAAACCGCATTTCTACTGTCTCAAATCTACTCTTCCTCTATAAGGAAATTGCCGGGCTTCCCCAATCGAGAGTCAATCATTATCTATCCTCCCTATCCTCATACTATTCACTTCCTACTTTTAAATTAACATCACAAACCTCATTCAATAACAATCTACCTTGAGTGCCTTTTTTTAACTAAAAGCGTAGTAAATAACAATGGCGCTTTGGTATGAGGTAATGGTCAACGAGCTAATCTAGTTGACCATTACTAGTGAGCAATGAGTTCAATCTTCAGCGAGTGCTATATACTTGTGCTTTTGTGCCAAAAACTATCTAAACTTATGAAATAACAATGACGCTTCCATATGAAATAATAGCTAACGATCTTATCTATTGGACATTACTAGTGTTTAGTGAGTCCAAAACTCAGTGAGAGCTCCTCACTTGTGGCCTTGAGCCAAAACTAAGCTAAACTCAATAAATAACAAGTGCGCCTCGGTGTCGCAAAATGGTTGACGAGGTAGTCTAGTTCACCGTTACTATTGCGCAGTGAATTCAATCCTCAGTGAGTACTCCATAGGCGTGGCGTTGCGCCAAATTATGATAAACTTAATAAATAACAAGTACGCTTTAATGAGGCGTAATGTTTAACGGACTATTATGATTGAATATTGCTAATGATTAGTGAATTCAATCCTCAGTGAGGGTACCATATTTACACCCTTTTGATTTTTGATCACTGATCTGAGAAATGGTTTGCATATAGATGATAGTTTAGACGCTTAAACATATATGACATTCATATGAGAGTCTAGATCTGAAGTTACACAAAATATAGGTCAACACAAAAGTACTGTTTATATAAGTATTATATTATATATAATTATATATAAGTATATATATATATATATATATATATATATATATATATATATATATATATATCATATATTATAATAAATATGTATTATATATATATTATATATTATAATATATATATATATATATATATATATATATATATATATATATATATATATATATATAATGGACTCTCCTGTCGGTTTCGACGTATGAACGAATCAAGGTAAACCATAGAAAACCCACACAAGTGATCTGATTAAAGTGGTCAAGGCTTGTGCAGAACGATCCACACTTTTCGGCACTATTGATACACTTAGTCGGTGCAAATAATGCCACAGACGAAGCAAAATATAATTTATACATACATACATATATATATATATATATATATATATATATATATATATATATATATATATATATGTGTGTGTGTGTGTATATATATATATATATATATATATATATATATAAATTATATTTATTTTAATTACTGATCTGAGAAAACGTTTGTATATAGATAATAGTTTAGACGGTTAAACATTTGACATTCATATCAGAGTCTAGATTTAAAGCTACATAAAATCTAGGTCAACATGAAAGTATTATATATATATATATAAGTATTATAATATATATAATTATATATAAGTATTATTTATATATATATATATATATATATATATATATATATATATATAATATATATATATGTTATAATATACAAATATTATATATATATATATATATATATATATATATATATATATATATATATATATATATATATAAGTTTTATATTTTAATCACTGATCTGAAAAAACGTTAGCTTAAACAGTTAAACGTATATGACATTCATATGAAAGTCGAGATCTGAAGCTATTCAAAATCTTGGTCTAAGCGAAAGTATTAGACTAACACAAAAAAATTCCATCGCTTTTTAATAACATAAATTCATAGCCTTATTATTCGGTCGTCAAATTTGTTTTTTTCCTGGCTTATATTGACATTACGCCAGTTTTCAGACAAATTTTGTGTGCTACCATTGAAAATAAGATTCCGGTTTTTATCGATTAATTCTTCTATAAGTTTTTGCAAACATTAATTAATTTGAACCGTTGACCAAAGAGTTTTCCATACAAAGAAACAAGTGACATGACTGAAGAATACGGTACTTGGGGAAGAATTTCCTCTCAGTTTCATGATCTTTCACTGTCGTCGCATTTACAACTTGCTCGTTGACGCTGTTCTCTCGCAAAAATCATTCGTCCATAAAAAGTTATTTTCTGTTCCAATGCGTCATTGAAACAAACCAGTTGCTCGGCGTATAAGCATAGTAAAAATTTGTCTATGTTCTAGCAATTTCTAAAAGGTACAAATGGATCCCAATTAACAGAGAAAACATTTTC